ATGATGAGACTGTTGAGCTGTACAGAGATACACTGGTACCTCCGAATTCAAACATAATCTTTTACGAGGCGACGTTCGAATTTCAAGTCATTCGAGTTTCAAGGCAATTTACCGGTTGAAAATGATGGAAATTAAATTAGTCTGTTCCAAGGTCCAATGAACACAAATTGCTAAATGCATGTACTTCAACACAGTACTCTATAAATATAGTTGTACATTATGATACATTTCGGATACGGTCGTATTCACGTTTCCCAGCCCATCTACACACTAACTGACATTTCATTCATGCTTTCTCAGACTGATCTACGTCAGAGGGTATCACATTGTCTTGCCTCCAATTACATCAGCGCCGATGTCGCGTGTTCTATATTGCACGACGACACCGCTTTTAAAGACCCCAGAACATCTAGAACTAGCCCTAACTCAAACCGTCAACCACGGGTTGAGCCTAGGTCCCACGATAGACTCTTTTTAAAGAAAACAGTACACCGTGACACCCCTCTGACCTAGATCAGACTTAGAAAGTGTGTAGATGGGTAGGGAAACTTGAAAAGGACACGGGATACAAACATGAATAATTAAAAAAAAAAAATATGAAAACCTTGTATTTACTGTACCTTGACAAATTGGTGACGAAGGTGAGTCACCGTCCATACCATCAGGAATCCTCTCTGAAATGTCATATAGTAGTCGTTCACATTTATGCTTGAACCACCTACTTGCACTCCCCCGTTTGGGTTCCAGTGCCACATTTTGGGGAGTAAATGATTAAATCAAGTATTGACATCACTGCATTCGGAACATTCCTCAGAAGCAAACGAAGAGTTGCAACCTGATTAAAGGTGTGCCTCTGTTTTTCCCTTCATGTTGAATATCTTACAGAAGGTCCTTACGCCCCCCCCCCCCCCACCCGCCCAACCACACCCCACGTTGCATTAGTCTTTCATTGTGTGGATTCTATTCTACTGACCTGTCTATTTGATCCCAGAAAATCTCCACCTCGTCCGCTTTATCATAAAGTAGCTCACTGCCCAGAGGAGTGGCAGCAGCTAAAATATGGCACACCTGAATATCTTTTACAGTTATATACACGAGTTGCGCCTGATCTGGGTCTTGCCGAGTGATGCAAACCCCTCTGCGCGAAGGACGCCAGTCTAAATTTCCTCAAGCACTCTTTGTATTTTGGGGACAAAACAAGAATAGACACACTGTCCCAATAACAAGCATTTCGTTGAAAAAAAAAAAAAAAAAACTATAGAGATGTTTCTTTCGAAGTTAGAGTGCATGAGCATCAGTAATGAGGAGCCAACAGTGCATACACATAGGCTAGATTTACAAACAAGATGTGCATGAAAAACGGAAGTTCTAGAACAGTGATTCCCAAGCTGTGCGCCTCGGCGACAGGAGGAGCAGCCACTTCTTCGCGGGGGCGCCGCGAAATATTCAAAGATACACAATTTTTTTTTAAATATCTTATATACGAATAGTCATACTTTTACCTAGGTTAGGGCACTGTGGACAAGTGTTAATGGAAAAAAGGTCGCCGCGACTAAGAAAAGTTTAGGAAACACTGTTCTAGAAAATGTTTCAAAGTCTAGACATGGGCCAAACACCCAGAACTTTCTGCAGAGTTTACAGCCTTTGAATGCTGGGAAGAAGAAGAAGAAGAAGAAGAAGAAGAAGAAGAAGAAGAAGAAGAAGAAGAAGAAGAAGAAGAAGAAGAAGAAGAAGAAGAAGAAGAAGAAGAAGAAGAAGAAGAAGAAGAAGAAGAAGAAGAAGAAGAAGAAGAAGAAGGAGAAGAAGAAGAAGAAGAAGAAGAAGAAGAAGAAGAAGAAGAAGAAGAAGAAGAAGAAGAAGAAGAAGAAGAAGAAGAAGAAGAAGAAGAAGAAGAAGAAGAAGAAGAAGAAGAAAAGGAACTCTTACTTGCACGACCATAAGTTAATATCAAAAAGGTGTGCCCAAAAACCATCCATGACATGGACAGAAATCGAAGACCATAGATGACTGTGATTGACCCAGGAGCCTGTGTTGTGGACAAAAGGCGTTTCCAGTTTGTGCAGGCGGAGAATGACAGAAAGCATTTCACCCACACACCTGTAAGACAGGTATTGAGAATTGTCTTAGAGATGTTGCTTTAAAATATGTTAAAGATCACATAACAAAGTCAGTAAACCAAAAAGCTGTTTTCTCGTGCATTGATGATTTCATGAATGTTCAGCCATTCTAGGAACTTGTTACAGGCACGACCCCCACTGTAACGCTGGTGGTTGAAGCAAAGGCTCCACTGTCGTTTTCTTTGATGACTTTTCCCTTTGTTCTTGACGTGAAAGCCTGGAGCATGAGCTCAGTAAAGTAAAAGTAAAACAAAACCTTCCAAAACCTTTGGGTGTATTTGGCATATTCTAGACTTATCTTTAGGTTTAGACGACAGATCAAAATCATGGCACACGGGTAGTAGCCCATAAGTGCTCCATTCTACTTCTGACTCAAAAATAAGTCCGAAGAACATCAGCGCAGTGCACGAACTCCGTAGCATCGGTGAGGAAGCTGAAATATTTTGGGTAGATTTTTAACTCCAAACTTTGCCAGGCGTTAGACTACTCTTTTTCAATTTCGAACTGCCAGGGGATTTTTTACATGCGCAACAATACACAGGGGCGTCCGATCATACTACCAGAGACAAGGGAAAATTACTAGAAGTTCACGTGAGGAAACCCAAGCCTTCACCGGGATCTGAACCCGAGACCTCCAGCACTCGAGGCGGACGCCATGCCTCGAGACCACGCAGCCCATGAATATTTATATTTAATAGACCAATCGGCACACGGTGGCTAATGTGGTCTGTGTATGTTTGTATGTGTGTATGCCTGTATGCCTGTATTACGAATGTATGTATGCATGTATGCCTGTATGTTTGTATCTATGTATGTTTGTTTGAATGTATGTATGCCTGTGTGTATGCCTGTTTGCATGTTTGTTTGTATGTACGTATGTACATATGTATGTATGTATGTATGTATGTATGTATGTATGTATGTATGTATGTATGTATGTATGTATGTATGTATGTATGTATGTATGTATGTATGTATGTATGTATGTATGTATGTATGTATGTATGTATGTATGTATGTATGTATGTATGTATGTATGTATGTATGTATGTATGTATGTATGTATGTATGTATGTATGTATGTATGTATGTATGTATGTATGTATGTATGTATGTATGTATGTATGTATGTATGTATGTATGTATGTATGTATGTATGTATGTATGTATGTATGTATGTATGTATGTATGTATGTATGTATGTATGTATGTATGTGTGTGTGTCTGTATGTGTGTGTGTATGTATGTATGTATGTATGTATGTATGTATGTATGTATGTATGTATGTATGTATGTATGTATGTATGTATGTATGTATGTATGTATGTATGTATGTATGTATGTATGTATGTATGTATGTATGTATGTATGTATGTATGTATGTACGTACGTACATACATACATACATACAAAGATTTAAAACCGAACGATAAGTATATTAGCAAGCTTTACAATACAACAAATATAAACAAAACGTGAATGTTGTGGCTATAGAGCCTTCATCAGCACATACAAAGCAAACAATACTACACAAATACCTAAAATCACTTAGCTGGTATCTCGAAATAGCCGGGTCGATGGATTCTTAGTAGAATGCCTAATGGGCTGGGGGAATAAATACCCCATGTGGAGTACCAGGGGCAATAACTAGGGGGTTAGAGATAATGATGAGAGGGCAGTTAAATCGCTTAGGAGTTTAAATTAAAATTGTGTTGGCAATTCAGTCCGGAGTGTGTTAAAGTCCCCAAAGTGTAAATACAGCGATTCTCAAGAGAGTTCCGGAGGGGGGGGGGGGTGTTGAGTTGGACCCAGATTCTCCATGTTTTTGGAGTCTTAAAAGCTCTGACCTGCTGAAATATACAACATTCGAGATGAACGTCTTTGCGGAACACCCATGTAACCGTGTGCGAAGGTCACGAGGCTTAGAAACTAGTAATCATAAGTAAGGTAGTGTGTATATGGGTGGGGTCTAGAAAGACTAACGTCGAACTAACCCGCCAAGCGTGACCTTAATCTTTGGGGAGTGGAATGCGGAAAGGAAATGCATTGCCCTTGCTCTGTAACATAGCAAGTGGCTCAACCACAAGCCCGTGCGTTTCTCTTTCTGGTGTGAACACCTTCCATTATTCGTGTTTCTTGAAAGCAACCTCTTCAACTGTCCCAGTCGACACATAGAATTCTTTCACTAGCGGCAGTATACTTCAACAGGTTCACACAGTCCCAAGTGCGGTTGATTTTCTCAGGATGACGCAAGTCGCCCACTTGCCGCCCCTAATAACTTCACGCTGTCAGATCAAAAGTTCAAACTTATTTCCCTGCTTATTCCGCTCCTTCCGTCACGGTACAGCCTAAAGCGGCCTTATGTCTGTATCATAGCACGTCACGACCCTAGAGACACCTGTAATGCGCATTAATTTTTGCAGATTTTTTTTTTTTGGGGAGGGGGGGAGGTGGGGTCGGCGAGGGGGCCAACAATCTGCGCTTCATTCTGCCGTGGAATATCTATCATGAACTCACGTCATTCCTGAAATGTTCTGCCCAGTCTCTCAGACAACGTACGCTGCCTGCAGTCTTTGGTGAATGTCCGCTGGTAGATTTTCTTCAGATGCAAACAAACGGAATCACCAGTCTCTAAGCTTTTTTGGTGGATTTGAGTTCAAGCCTGACATTATCTCAGCTGTTAAAATGCCACTGATGCATCATGGGACGATAAGTTTGTGAGTACTTACCACATACCTATAACATGATCGTGTTCAACGCGAGTGCAGCACGAACGTGTTTTAAAGGAACACTCCCAATAACTAGTCAGACATACATATGTGTTCTTGAAAACACTTCTTTTCAAGATTTAAAGAGACGGATAGAGATAGAAAGACATAAATTCAGACAGAAGACAGACAGAATAAATAAACATACACTGTAACACTGTGTGTTGTACAGCGATTATTTGTATCTTGCCTGTAGTTTGTGTGTTGGTTAATTGTTCCGGTTCCTTGGTGTTGGTTAATTGTTCCGGTTCCTTGGTGTTGGTTAATTGTTCCGGTTCCTTGGTGTTGGTTAATTGTTCCGGTTCCTTGTTGTTGGTTTCTTGTTCCGGTTCCTTGGCTTGACCTTCCGGTGTGAGATTGGTTGACCCCGGCTTGCAGAACTGAGCTGCCAGATCAACGGCTGTACCCGAGATGACTAGAGTACCTATCACTACAACTATCAGCCTGTAAGTTGTCAACAAATCATATTTAACGTTTATTTTAGCAAGTAAAGTACACGAGTGCATGCACAGAATATACGGACTTAAATGGCATAATCATGAATGTCAAGCTTTGGCAGGGGACTAAGCAAGTTTCAGTGACCAGGAGTGGAGAAAAGACGGTGGCGTTGGATAGGACACTTGCTGAGAAAACTGGAGACCAGTATAACTAGAATCTTTTTGCACTGGCACCTACAGGGGCCTAGAAAAAAATGAAGATTTAAAAAAAAAGACATTTGGGAAGGCAGCTAGAGAGTGAATTTAAAAGGATGGGGAGGACATGGGGAGGACATGGGGAGGACATGGGGAGGACATGGGGAGAGATGCATGCGATAGCGAAGGACAGATCGACTTGACATGAGTTGGTTGCGGGCCTATGTTCCACTGGGGACAGAAGTCAAAAGAAAAATAAAGTAAATGACATGTTTTATGCTACTGGAGCATCGGGTATATGTATGTATGTATGTATGTATGTATGTATGTATGTATGTATGTATGTATGTATGTATGTATGTATGTATGTATGTATGTATGTATGTATGTATGTATGTATGTATGTATGTATGTATGTATGTATGTATGTATGTATGTATGTATGTATGTATGTATGTATGTATGTATGTATGTATGTATGTATGTATGTATGTATGTATGTATGTATGTATGTATGTATGTATGTATGTATGTATGTATGTATGTATGTATGTATGTATGTATGTATGTATGTATGTATGTATGTATGTATGTATGTATGCATGCATGCATGCATGCATGCATGCATGCATGCATGCATGCATGCATTCATGCATGCATGCATGCATGCATGCATGCATGCATGCATGTATGTATGTATGTATGTATATATGTATGTATGTATGTATGTATGTATGTATGTATGTATGTATGTATGTATGTATGTATGTATGTATGTATGTATGTATGTATGTATGTATGTATGTATGTATGTAATGTAATGTAATGTAATGTAATGTAATGTAATGTAATGTAATGTAATGTAATGTATGAATGTATGTATGTATGTCTGTCTGTCTGTCTGTCTGTCTGTCTGTCTGTCTGTCTGTCTGTCTGTCTGTCTGTCTGTCTGTCTGTCTGTCTGTATGTATGTATGTATATATGTGTGTGTGTATGTATGTATGTATGTATATATGTATGTATGTACGTATTTGTATGCATGGATATATCTCTTTATGTATAGAGAGAGAGAGAGACTTACGCTGATGGATGATGTAGTCAAGACCAAGCCAGCCGCCTTTACCTTCCAGGACGTTTCCTAGTAGCTATAGTAGGCTGAGATGACCTGGGAGAGAAGGTTTTTTTTTTAATTCTTTATAATTTATTCAGTTCGGATTTGCACCCGAGACCTTTGGACTGGCAAACCACTACGATACAGTTTTTTTTTCTTTGTAACTTGGCCATTAAAACGCTACATGAATCAATGTGCAGGGTTGAGAGAATCGACTTCAAGCAGCTTCAGTTTGCAACAATGCTGCGTGACCTGGGGTTGTGTGTGTTGTCCATTAAGATATTAAGTACGAAGATGGCCGATGAGGCCGATGCGGGCCGGAAAAGTTCTTGGACAGTGAGGACAGGGAATGCGCTTTGTGCCAGGGAGAGGATCTCCTGCAGTCGCCTTTTTGTCCATCCTTTTCCTAATCAGTCTTGCTGTTCTGTTCTGTTCACATGTAACCGCTCTCTTGTGTAGAGTTGCACGCCTTACATTTCGGTCTTGTGAGGCAGCCTCTCAATTGGTGTCATTCATCTCGAAATGCTTTGAGAGAAGACTTAAGGTGTCCTTAAAGTGTTTCTTTTGCCCGCCATGGGAACCTTTCCTATTTTTCAGCTCACTATAGAAGAGTTTTTTTTTTTTTTTTGCAGCCTGTGATCTGGCATGTGTGCCACATGACCAGTCTAACGAATTTGATACTGCACTAGTAGAGTGTGAAAGTGGTTTAACTTTCTAGCCTGGCGCTGGTATACAGTCCATGTTTCGCATGCGTACAGCAGTGTGGTCAATACAACGGCTCTGTATACTTTAAGCTTTGTCTGTAAGGTTATGCCACTTCTGTTCCAAACATTTTTGTACAATCTGCCAAAGGCAACGCTAACCCTAGAGATCCTTGCATTTACTTCGTCATCAATTGTGGCGCTCGGTGAAGGGGTGCTGACTATATAAGTATACCTGGGGTTAAGATTGATCAAGCACGTCTGTGCAGTCTTTGATGGAAAGATGAGAGACATTACAACCAACTTCTCACGGGTGTAGTCAGGAGAGGTACCCGTGAGTGGCTTCTTCATCCGAGCAATGTGAAGTCAAGTAAAGGTCATATAGGGCTAGACCTATATTTTATAGACCAATCGGCACTCAACGGATAATGGGGTCAATACCATGCCGACCGTATTTACTTCCCAGGAATGTACGTGGTACTTATTTAAGGCTAGGTCGACATGGGAGCCAAGTTATTTTAGAAAAAATGTCGGCTGCGACAGGAACCGAACCCACGACGCCTAACCGTGACCAAATGGTGGCTCCCATTTGAGGACTGTCCACGTATGGAAATACCGTAACATCAATCGTGTTAACATTACCCCAACGCGGCTCCATGGCGTAGAGGTTAGCGAGTACGGTTAACAATTCAATACCATGCCGACCGTATTTACTTCCCAGGAATGTACGTGGTACTTATTTAAGGCTAGGTCGACATGGGAGCCAAGTTATTTTAGAAAAAATGTCGGCTGCGACAGGAACCGAACCCACGACGCCTAACCGTGACCAAATGGTGGCTCCCATTTGAGGACTGTCCACGTATGGAAATACCGTAACATCAATCGTGTTAACATTATCCCAACGCGGCTCCATGGCGTAGAGGTTAGCGAGTACGGTTAACAATTCCATGACGCTCGAGTGCTGTGGTTCGTTTCCGGCTGTGGACGGGAAAAATCCGTTCTCACGATTTTTGGAGACTGGTAAAACTTAGTTAAGGACAAGCACAATTTTGGACGAACAGAAGTTGTAATAATGGCAAATTACACTTAGACATTTAGTAGAAACACCAGTAGAATTTGATAAAGATTTACACATCGCATTCGTAGACCAAGAGAAAGCTTTCTATCAAGTTAATAGGAATAAATTATGAAAGGTGCTACACGATTAAAGGTTAGTTGCGTATCTTTTACAGGACATTGCAGAACCAACCCCAACAGCCCCTGACTGTTGTGTGGTTTTTCTGTGCAAATTTACGTTCAGTAGTTTGCCATTGCCCCCTGGACGGTCGGCTTTCTTGATACCACTGTAGAAACAAACACAAGGCGTATGGCCAGCAGCTGGGATAGAACCCGGCATTATGAAGCAGCATCGACTTAGCCACAGAGCCGACGCTACACGATTACGGAGTAAATTAACATTCTATTGAATTGTGCAAAGTCTCTATACGTGAACAGCCAGTGCGCTGTTAGAACACAAGCAGGAATGTTAGAAAATTTTCTAAATTAGATCTGCAAAAACAGGGGTGTGTTCTATAACCATTCTGTCTTTCAATTTTAAACAAAGTTTCCGGAAGAGTCAAAGTTCTAGTTAAGGACTGAAATGAACACTGAAGCTATTATCTGGTGGGACAATAGCAAGAGAATGCCGGCGTGACCCGGCGCTAAAATAAACTGATCTTATTAAGCCCCGTCAGCCTAAGAGACACTGACTACCCCTAACCCCAACCCCTAACACCCCTAGAATACTGGACTTTCCCGGGAGCTGCCTGATCTCTTTTGTCTGGGGTGAATAACAATTAAAAGAGCGCTATTTCTTTTACTCATAAGCAAGTAGCGGTTCAAGCTGTTACCTCCCCTCCAGTTTTCCGGTCTGGGCTAAGATGGCGGGGCGTGTTTCCTCTTTGCTTGGCTTAAGACTGTTGACTGATGACCCGACAAGCCGCCATCATAAAACATCGTTTGTTTAAGAATCCGATTTCTAGCTCTAAATGTTATGACGCTTCGTTCAAGCTAGTGAAATTCTACCTAAAACAAGTGGCAACGAACCGCTAGACATGGAGAGCTATGACCTCTGCCCTATGCACAGAGCAAGTATAGATTACAGTTTTTTTTTTTTTTTGCTACTCACAAAGCAACTATTGTGAACGTTGTGACCTCTCTCTTGTCCGACAGACAGTCCGCTGAATAAGCGCCCAGCAATGAGCTCAGGTTCATGGCTCGTAGTCCTAAAGATAAATACATTCAATAATTAGACACCAAGTATGTACTTCACTGGGAACCATAGAGGCGTAGTGGATAGACGTTCGCCTACGAACTCAAAGCTCTTGTGTTCTAAGTTGAAAAAATAATTGTAGCTGTCAGGTCGACCCAGCTTGAAAAGGATACCAGGTAAAATCCTGGGAAGTTAAGGCAGCCGGTGTCATGTTGAAAACATCACACATCGAGTGCCGATGGTGTCTATAATTGAGTTCTATACCTCTATGAACAATATGGGTAGAGTTGTGGAAAGTGTCCTTTGCTCAGAAGAGGTCGAGACTTGAATCGAGCGACCAGGACTCGACTCCAACGTAAGTCGCTTACTTAGCGACTTGCGACTCGACTTGGGATCATTGTCAAGCGGCTCGACTTACGACTTGTTTCCTTGATGACTAGGCGCGACTGCTAGCTTCTTCCCGGCCGGCCAGTGTGAGGTTTGCTGAGCGACGTCACAGTTTAAAAACGTCTACCTATCAATCAGGACAGAATAAAATCCGTTACGATTTATCTTGCTTTCACATTCGGCTTCAACCACTTTTGATATATAGTTAGTGAGTTTTCCGCACTGTCATTTCTCATCTCTTATTTTCGCCATTTTTCATTGTCCAACGCACGACATCGAATGAATTGATGATACGCGAAGTGACTCCGGACTTGACTTAAAAGCATTCTTGAGATCTCACCTGGGATAAGTTATACATAGGGATCTTCATCTTCTTTTTCTTCGCATTCATCGGCTGTTAGCTCCAGCGTAGGGTATGGATTTTAGTCTTGTTCCAGAACCTGAATGTTGTCTGCACATCCGTTTTACATATCTGTCTTATTTGTGTGCAGACAGTTGGTTTCTTGCCTCTCCGGCAGATGCACTCTGACTTTAAAGGAAGCCCCCAGTTATTCGAATCTTACGACATGCTTGTTGGAGAGGCAGTGCGTCTCTTCTTGTTTTCTCCACAATGGGCCCTCGAAACCCACATAAACATGGCTACGATTTAGATCCCATGTTGTATGTGTCTCTACTTGCTGGAGTCTCTCTTATGTTTTATTTTGAAGACTTCAATTCGTTTTTACATGGCAGTATGGGTGTGGTTATACCCCTTGTCGTCTCTCTTGCTGCTGACTATGGGGTAGGGGCAGTGTGGATTACTATTACACTGCATCTCGTTCTATGCATTGTGTCTGCTGTTGTGTAGCTTCTCTCATTAAGTAGAGTAGAGTGGAAAATTGTTATAATATACATAAATGTTCTCAGCGTGTCAGCTGATGTGTAGCTTCGTTGATTATCTGTTCTCTACACATCGTGTTGTCAAGTGTGTGTGCGTTGTACTCCGTAGGTTAGTTCGGCGTTAGTCTCCCCAGACCCCACCCATATACACACTAGCTCACTTCTGATCGGTAGTTCATGAGCCCCGTGGCCTTCGCACACGGTTACGGGGGTGTTGATATAGCGTGTTGTATACTTCAGCATGCCAGCGCTTTTAACACTCCAAAAACATGGAGAAACTGGGTCTAACACAACCCCCGCCCCCCTCCCCTTTTCCAGAGAGTGCTGCAACCTATTTCACAGGCATTATCATTTTCAGAATGAAAACATAAATGCAAGACATTGCAGAAACCAAACAACAGAGCAGGACACACCCGTAACCTTCAGGAAAGTCGACCAGCCCAACAAACTTGTGAATGAAGAGTGCCATGTTCTATTTGGGGAGACTAGCGTCGTACTAACCTACTCCGTATAAGCCTTACAGGCGTAAAAATAAGGTTATGGGGAGTACTGTGCCACTGAGTGTGATCTTGGTGTTTATGTACCAGTCTCCCATGACTAGCTAGAGCATCGGACATGATTCTTTTGTTTCACCCTTGTGTGCACGTTTCTGCATTGTCAACATGACTTCTCTCTTTTAGTGACTTCTACTTTTAAAGACAGCACAGGGGTGAGTGACATATCATGGAAGGTTTGTTACTTTTACTGAGCTGAACTCTGAGATCGAAGCAAATTAAAAATGGTGTTACGAGATTTCTAGTGAAGTAAAGGCGACCAAGATGCCCACCACAGCTCTCTCTGAGCGCGATTTGGGAAGCCTTTGACCTTTTAATCCACTTCTTTCAAGTATTGTTATTGGAGACTCTTTAGGTTGTAATCTTAAAATCAGTAATGACATTGTCGAGACTAATGTCACTCTTTGGCATTTCTAGCATTACCGGTCCCAAGCACGGATGAGATAGGAGGAGGGCATTCGGGGGTGGGGGTGAAGTTATACCACCTTGTAAAAAGAAATGTGCTGCGTTAACTTGTATAATATGCCCGCGACTAACGTTGTTGAGAGGCCAAATGCGCTGAACTGGATTCCATATGATGCCAGGGTTATTATGACAAAATAATGTTGTGGCTGCTGCTCTAAATGCCATGTTTGTAATTGTAAAAGTAAAGTCAATGTTAATAATGAAGATGTAAGCGGCAGTTTTATTTACATTTGTTTTGTTGTAAGTGAGCTTGATGAAGTCAGAGAAGAATAAGTGTAACGGCAATTATCATGATTATACAGAGAATAATGCGTCAAATGATGATGATGATAAGTATGATGATGATGATGATGGCGACGACGATGATAAGATGATGATAATGATTATGATAAGGTCAGAGATGAATAATAAATACAATAGTGATGATGAAATGCATTTCTTCCTCTTATTGTTTTTGCATTTAGTTTCGTATGCTCAGGTCACACCGTCAGGTGGGTTGCCTCTATGAACTCATATGTCAGCTATTTGTGCTTCATGGTTCCCCAGAGCTTTCTCTGCACACTTTAATCTTGAGGTCATGTTTTCCATCTTGGTTGAAGGTAGAGTGGGCAGGTCTGTAGAATGTGCTCAGGTGT